CCTCTGTGACTGCCAACAAGGGATTTGCCACCAAATACTAAGTCATGTTTTGTGAAGGGGATCAAATCCTTATTTCCCTCATGAACATGCAAATCAGTCATCATTTGTTAGACATGCATTTCTTTTTAATTTTTTGTTGCTATTCTGTCTCTCAGTGTTACAATACACCGAACATTCTATTTTTAGACTGATCATTTCTTTGTGAGTGGGCAAACATTCAAAATCAGCAGGGGATCACAGTTACAGTATTTCCTTCACTGTATAGTAAATAAAGCTAAGCATTGGTACAAACATTACAGCAGTGGAAAGGAAAAATATGAAATGTTCTACTTGCAGACTTGCTTGATTCCCCTAGATACAATAAAAGAGCTAATGTGTGTGACAACATCCGCAGTCCATGATTATACCAAAACAAAGACTTTTTGGGTGCTTATTAATTCTATAGGCCTCCGATTCACAGGCTCATCAACTTGAGATCCAAGCAGCTCATTGCCAGACATTTTGTTACGCCTCATTGTGGCACCCAGAGCAATTACATGAAAATGTCGCCATAAATGTGAATCCTGTACAGTAACCTCCCAATCTGACATTTCTGAGGCTGACTTCCAAGCACGGTGTATGCGAGATGATAACACGGCGATGGAAACTCATGGGAATGAAATCTGAAATTCAAAGCAGGAACAATATTTGCATGTGTACAAGCTCCCTGACAAAGGAAGTTCTTTTGCTGCAGTTTGTTCATCATCATGCCAGACAGACGCGCTGTAAAAAAAACATTCCATCACGGCGTCCGTCCCATCATTCTGGACAGGAGTGGATTTCATAGTCGGCGTGGGTTGCAGCTTCTGTCCCTGTTCTTCCCGCTACTAATAATCCTTTACAGCTACAACTTCTATAGACCTAAATCTACCCACAAGATGGGAATCACTTACAGAAATTGGAGAAAAACTAAAAAGTGTTAAATAGCAATGTTACTATACCCAACCAATCAGATGCTTTTATTCATTGGGGCAACGATCAGCGTTATCATCTTTCATCTCATAGGGGTTGCAGGATGGTTCCTCTATCCAAGTAAATCTACATTTCTTCTTGGGGGGGGGGAGATTACAGGTATTTCTAGGTCAGGTAACACCATATTCGTCTAGCATGTTCCAGGTCAGCCGCAGCCAATCCTGATGTTTCTGGCAGTGGAGTAACCGAATAATATGCTGTAGACCACCTCAGCTGGAACTTTTTAAAATGAAGGATCTGCAGCTCAAGTTGAAGATATTCCTATAATGATACGGATCTTTGGTAGGAAGAAAAAAGCAACCGAATTCCTGAGCTCCTGCGCTGGACAATGGACTCAACAATGTCAATATCCCCACGTGTATGAAAGGAATTCAAGCCTTGCTGCCCTCAACAGACCAGGGTAATCCAAACAGAACTGTATATCAAGAGACAAAGAGAGGGCACACGGGCCTAGTGCATTACCTTTAAAAATGAGATTTATTGATAAAAAGTAAAATAGTCACAAGACAAATAAAATCAAATGGAAAGCATGTCACAAAGGATGCAATGTGGTCCAAAACCCCTGAAGGTAGTCTGGTGGGGGACAGTAGACCTCTGGATAGCTGATGGTTGACGCGTTTCGAGGTTGAACCTCTTCCTCAGAGCCTTTCGCTCATTTTTAAAGGTAATGCACTAGGTCCGTGCGCCCTCTCTTTGTCTCTTCATATATGATAATGATCTTGGGCTTATGGGGAGATGAGGCCAACAAGCCTATAGAGAAGCCTGCGATGTTGCTATAACCAACCAAACAGAAGCTTTTATTCATAGGAAAACAATCAGCATCATCATTTTCCATTTCATAGGGGTTGCAGGATGGTTTCTCTAGCCAGGTAAATCTCCAGTTCTTCTCGAAAGAAGATCATAAGGTGTTTCTAGGCCAGGTAAGAAAATATTCCTCTAGCATGTTCCAGGTCAGCCACAGCCAATCCGGATGTTCCTGGCAGTGGAGTACCCAAATAGTATGCTGTAGACCATTTCAGTTGAAATCTTGAATTGAAAGATCTGCAGTTCCACTTGAAGATCTTCAGCTTATGGGAAATGAGCCCAACAAGCTTATAGAGAAGAATGCAATGTTACTATACGGAACCAATCAGATGCTTTTTAATCACAGAAAAAAATGGTCAGCATCATCATCTTCCATCTCATAGGGGTTGCAGGATGATTTCTCTATTCACACAAATCTCCAGTTCTTCTCAAGAGGAGATCAAAGGTGTTTCTAGACCAGGTAAGAAAGTATTCCTCTTGCATGTCCCAGATCAGCCACAGCCAATCCTGAAGTTCCTGGCAGTGGAGTACCTAAATAGTATGCTGTAGACCACACCAGCTGGAACCTCTTGAATTGAAGGATCAGCAGCTACATTTAAAGATCTTCCTATACTTCTACAGATCTACAGCTTACGGTAATAAATCCAACAAACTTATAGCGAAGACGAGAAGACTGCAATGCTACTATAACCAACCAGATGCTTTTTATTCATATAAAAATGATCATCATCATCTCCCATCTCATAGGGTTTCAAAGATGGTATCTCAATACAGATAAAACAATTCTCGGGGAAAGAGGGGAGAGAGATTGAAGGTTTTACTAGGCCAAGTGAGAAAAAATTCCTCCAGCATGTTCCAGGTCAGCCACAGCCAATCCGGATGTTCCTGGCAATGGAATACTCAAATAGTATTGTAGACCATTTCAGTTGGAATCTTGAATTGAAAGATCTGCAGCTCCACTTGAAGATCTTCAGCTTATGGGAAATGACGCCAACAAGCTTATAGAGAAGAAAAGCAATGTTACTATACGGAACCAATCAGATGCTTTTTAATCACAGAAAAATGGTCAGCATCATCATCTTCCATCTCATAGGGGTTGCAGGATGATTTCTCTTTTCCCATAAATCTCCAGTTCTTCTCAAAAGGAGATCAAAGGGGTTTCTAGCATTTTTTCACGCCAGCCTAAAATTGTTGCACAGTACTGTATATGCAGTATATATACACATACATACGTATACAGCATATACCTATTGTTTGGCGGTGAAGATGTACCAGGAGCCTCAGATCAGTGGCAACCCTTCTGTTTCTCTGTGGACTTGTATGCCCCCCCCCCCCCCCCCATACAGCAGTAGATGAGGTGTTTCTAGCATTTTTTCGCCCACGCATCTAATTCCCCACTCTCCTACAAGGGCGACACACTGATCAGTGTTCCAGAACCCAGCGCTGAGGGTGGGCTTGCGAGATCCTGAGAATTAGTTAAAATCCCAGCACAGTCCTGCAGAAACTGGGGGAGCTGATAGGTGTGAGAGAGTGTTGTCACCCTAGGTCAGGAATGCTCAAAAAGCCTTGAAAAAAACTCAAACTAACCCCATTAAAAAAAATAGTAAACAGCTGCCACAAATTACATTTTGTTGCACTTTTATAATTTTCAGCACTTAGCACAATACATTAGGAAACAAAACTTTTAGGCCTCATGCACACTGGTTTTTTCTAAATGTTGTTTCTCCTGACAGGAGAAAATCAGTGTTAAAAAATCACCTATTTTTTTTTTTTCAAACCAGTTCAGCAGAGTAAGCGACGTTTGGTGTCTGGGTGTTTATTTAATTGGCCAGAACTTTAACCCCTTCATGCATAACAGTAAAACAAATCTAAATGCTTAAGCACAATTTTGCAATGTTGCCATGTGTTAGCAAAACCGTCCATATCACCACAACTACTTTGTACATCCAGGTGAATTATATTTTTTCAGGACAAATTGGGCTTTCATTTGGTGGTAAATAGTAATGGATATCTCCTGATTTTTTTTTATCAAAGGAAAACTGGCCCAAAATAGTAAAAAAAAAATTTTTTTTTTAATTAGCTGTGTGTTTCTTGTTACTACCAAAACCTACCACCAAAGAACAACCCAAAATTAATTTTCCAGCTCTTGACGATCGCAGCGATACCAGATATGTGTATGTTATTTGTTGTTTGTACCTGGAGTACAGCCCAAAAACAATAGTGCGCATTTTGTTTTTGTCTTTTTTTTTTTTTTTTTTTTAGTGTCACTGACTAAATTCCAAAACACTAACTGACATCAGATACAATGAAGCTTTGGAAATTTTTTTTTAAATGCGGGTCTGACCTTTGCACTCTCCAGCTTTGACCCCTTTGATCTTTTTTTTTTTTAAACCCTGACCTTTGACCCTGACCTTGACCCAAACACTAACCCTGGCACTGAACTAGATAAAACCTTGATCTAGGTATTTTTTCTTTATTTTTTCTTTATTTTTTAATATTTATTCATCTTTTTTTTTTTTACAATTTTTTTTTTCCCTCTATGCCAGGAGTTAGAGAGATACAATGTATCTCTCTTCTCCATTCATAGAGAGAGAAAAAAAAAAAACAAGGGGGCCGGGCTGCACAGTGTCTGATCACTGTGATAGCCAATCAGAGGCTATCACAGCAATCATGTGACCCGGAATCGGGAGTCCCGGGTTCCAATCGTTAGAACGGAACTTGGGGCTCTTAGTGACACAGCGGTCTTTGTGCTGGGAATGCGCTGTGCGGCCGCTCCCAGCACAAAGACAGGCACGCAAATATGCGGCCCCACGGAAAAAAGCCCAGTTCCGTGACGTAGCATATTTATGTGACGTCGGCGTCAAGGGGTTACTCTGGCTAATAAAATGAATAAATGCAAAAGTGCTAAATGCACCTAGTGCTTGGGCGCGTTTAAACTCGTTGAGCAGCATTCAGCGTTTCAAAATTCCCTCTCCTGAATTTGATTTTAGGGCGTTCAGAAAATGTTCTCTAAACTCCCTTGCTACTAAACATCTATGTGTGCAGGAAAAAAAAAAACAGTCAAAACCATGAGTTTTGGAGAAGTAGTGTGCATGAGGCCTAAAAAAAAAAAAAAAAAAAAAATCACTTTCCCTGTATATGGAATTTATTTCAATTTCAGCTGCACATGTGTAACACTCTCTTACCTTCGCAGCAAGTTCAAGGCCGACTTTATCAGCTTCCGTCTCCAAAGTCCGGCTATATGGTCTCTCGAACACATACTGCAAGAAAGAAGATGGACGCTTTTCAGACTCTGGTGGGTTCAAGGCCTTTTCAAAACACATCACATCAATGTTTCAGAAAAAGTGTGAAAATTCCCAGATGAATCCTGAAGAGGGATATTTTTACCGTCACCATCCGGCAGGGTAAGACAGGCCCTGACCTCCCGGAGGCCGGACTGTGAGCCGAGGAAATGAATGCATCTAATAAGAGGCATATATCAGCTTCTGGCTTTGCTGCAGTCAGGCGGGGGCAAGAAAGTCAATAATCAATTCTGCTGCACAAGTGCTGATTAAATCAGGCTGCTGGCAGTGCGATAACCTGTGTGCAAAGTGCAGAAACCCACAGACTTTGTAGACACTGGGGGGAGATTTACTAAAACTGGAGCACTCAGAATCTGGTGCAGCTGTACATGGGAGCCAATCAGCTTCTAACGTCAGCTTGTTCTATAACCCTAGGTTGACATCTGTGTGGGTGGTGCCGCTGCGGATCCGCACGAAAATCCGTGCAACCGCACCACCCGCAGAGAGGAATGCGGACCCACGGGTGGGTGACATTAGTTCTAATGGCACGCCGCCCGCACTGGAAAACCCAACCGTACTGGAAACCTCGGCTGCGTTTTCCAAAGAAGTGCAGAGACTTCTTTCCCTGCGTGTCACAGGCATGGGAGTCCATTCAAATCAATGGGCTCTTGTGCCCGTACAAATCGCGGCCCACACGGCCGCATAGATGTGAACCGGGGGTTAAGCTTTGACAATAAAACCTGGAAGCGGATTGGTTTCTATGCAGAGCTGCACCAGATTTTGCGCCATCCAATTTCAGTAAATAACCCCAACTGTATGATTAACAAAGACTGCAAATTCCAGCAGCAATAATCTGTGCAATCCTGTGGCGAGAAGAGAGGTGCGTACAAACAGCCGCTCACCCCACAAAAATGCAGCGACAGGCTGACTGCGGCCACAGCTATTTGTAAGGGTCGTTCACATGTGCTTTGATCTCTGAAGAGCAATCCACGTTTCAAGGAGCATTCGACAGGTGGCGAGGAGGCAATTATATTGGTGTGTACCAGGGGCGGGTTGACCATTCGAGCACTTGGGCACTGCCCGAGGGACCGGGGTCAGTAGGGGGCCCCGTGAGATGCCCCTGGTACCTTTCATTGGCTTTTTCATTGGCTTTTTTGGGTGTGGGCTATCCCCTATTGCCTGGGGGCCCCATGAGTTCTCAGTCCGCCCCTGGTGTGTACTCGGTGTAGAGATATTCACCCTGAGGTCATCACAGAGGACAAGGGGGCGCTCTTTACGTCTGGAGGAAAAGAAATGTAATCTCCAAACACGGAAAGGTTTCTTCACAGTGAGAGCTGTGAAAATGTGGAATAGACTCCCTCAAGAGTTGGTTGTGGCCAGCTCAGTGGATTGCTGGAGGAAAGTCCTGGATTCTTTCTTGGATGCACAGAATATAACTGGATATAACATTTATAGGTAAAGGTGATCCAGGGAATATCCGATTGCCTCTCGGGGGATCAGGAAGGAATTTTTTCCCAAGCAGGAGCAAATTGGATCGTGCTTTGCTGGGTTTTTTTGGCCTTCCTCTGGATCAACTGTGGGTGTAGGATTTTTCTTTTTGGTTGAACTGGATGGACTTTTGTCTTTTTTTAGCCAGACTAACTATGTAACTATACTTCTATTGGGAAGATATTGGAGAGGTAAACCCCTTGACACTGCACTAGTTCCCCAAAAAAAGCAACAGCTATAACTCCTGCCATGGCATGTCTACACCCTCGACCGCTGCCTCTGCAGCTAAAGAAGGTTGTGGTTGGACGGCGGTAAAAGAGCAGCTTTTACTGCCCTCCAACCGCTAGTGTGAACAAGCCCTGAGTGCAGTTAGGGACAGATGATTGTGGCTGGATCAGGGGCGGACTGACAACTCATGGGGCCCCCGGGCAATAGGGGATCATGGGGCCCCTGTGTCCTTGTCCAAACTCAAAAAAGCCTATGAAAAAGGTACCAGGGGCATCTCATGGGGCCCCCTACTGACCCCGGGCCCTCGGGCAGTGCCCGAGTTTCCAAAATGGTCAGTCCGCCCCTGGGCTGGATGCAGTCTGTCTGTCCCTAACCACAAACAAAATCACTGCCTGTGTGAACAACAGCGAAGAGTCACGTATAGCTGCGGCTGCCATCAGCTTATTATTGCTTTATATGGGCTAAGTGGCTGCAGCTCTTCGTGCATACAAGTCATTTCAGCTACAAGAATCAAAAACATATTTTCTAGACAGGGGCGGACTGACAACTCATGGGGCCCCCGGGCAATAGGGGATCATGGGGCCCCTGTGCCCTTACCCAAATTTAAAAAAGTCTATGAAAAAGGTACTGGGGCATCTCATGGGGCCCCCTACTGACCCCGGGCCCTCGGGCAGTGCCCGAGTTTCTAAATGGTCAGTCTGCCCCTGTTTCTAGCACAATGTGAATGAGGCCATAAATGGACAAAAACTGTATTTGTTTGGATGCCGTACTACTTTATTAAAGTAGGAGCTCCACCCAAAGTTAATATTCCAGTTCAGTGCAGCTTGCACGATTGCTGGCTTCCAGATGGTGACAACACAGTTGACCATGTGTGCACAGTGGGGTTGATTTACTTAGGCTGGCCATACGCTATACAATTTTCTGTCCAATTTCCTTCAACTATGTAGTGCAAGGGCCTGCCTAATTGGATACAATTGAAACTGGGCAGCACAGTGGCTAAATAGTTAGCACTTCCGCCTGGCAGTACTAGGGTCGTTGGTTCGAATCCCAGCCAAGGCACCTCCTGCCTCGAGCTTGCATGTTCTCCCTGTGCCTGCGTGGGTTTCCTCCGGGTACTCCGGTTTCCTTCCACACTCCAAAGACATGCTGGTAGGTGAATTGGCTCCTGTCTAAATTGTCCCTAGTATGTATGTATGTATGAATGTGCCCCTTGAGGGTTAGGGACCTTAGATTGTACACCCCTTGAGGGTTAGGGACCTTAGATTGTACACCCCTTGAGGGTTAGGGACCTTAGATTGTACACCCCTTGAGGGTTAGGGACCTTAGATTGTACACCCCTTGAGGGTTAGGGACCTTAGACTGTACACCCCTTGAGGTTAGGGACCTTAGATTGTACACCCCTTGAGGGTTAGGGACCTTAGATTGTACACCCCTTGAGGGTTAGGGACCTTAGATTGTACACCCCTTGAGGGTTAGGGACCTTAGACTGTACACCCCTTGAGGGTTAGGGACTGAAGTGAATGTATAATATGTTTGTAAAGTGCTGCGTAAATTGACGGCGCTATATAAGCACCTGAAATAAATAAATAAAAAGTGTTCTTTAGGTTTGACTTCCTATTATATGGTTTTTGGTAAATCTAAAGCAAAATTCTCAAGAAAATTGTATAATGTATGGCCAGCCTAATGCCCCGTACACACGATGAGAATATCGGACGTACAATTGGCCGTTTTTTTTTTTTTTTTTTTTCGCCTGCTAGTCTCACATCGAAAGTGAAAAGGTTACTAAAGATGCTAAAATTCTCCTATGAAAGAAAAGAATTTTTGAAAGTGATGTCATGTATTGCGTTGTATTTGTATTGTATTTTCAGACGACTACTGAACTGATTAAACGAAAATCGTATGATCTGGTATCGTACGAGAAACGTTTTTGCGCTTGTCCCTTCGGATATTGTCGTACGAATTGTTGTGATCGGCTCTCAAAAGCTGTGTACTGGGGATGTGATGGTGTTCGGTATTGGCGTTCTTGGACCCCTGCTCTTTGGTTTTGTTATATTATATATTATTTTTTTTCCCCTTTCTCTTTGTACTCCTGTCTTTCTTTTTCTGTTTGTTTTTGGTGTGACAGTGTATAGCTGCTTTTAGTTTGTTACAGTCAGAGTTGCATCAATGTTCTTGTAATTTATGTGCCATTGATAGCCCCTGCGTGGGCGTACCTTTTGCCCTGTTGGCGTTAGAGCACTGTTTTTTCTATTTTTTTTAAATTTTTTATATGTGCAATTGATAGCCCTGCGTGGGCGTGTTTTGTTGCCTCTGTTTTATACTGTTTAAAAATTAATAAAAAACACTGAAATCTAAAAGCTGTGTACTAACGATCCGATTATCGGACGATCGCCTCTTACGAAAATTTTCGTACAATATTCTTATGCAGGCCATAGATGGGGAGAAAAACGGCCGATTTTTCTTTTAAAAAACGAAAAATCGGTCGTTCAAAGCGGCCGACGTTACCACCAATGGTGAAAAAAAAAAAAAATCGGCCGATTTTCATCCCGTCTACAGCCGGCAAAAAGTGTCCCTGCAGAGAGCTCTGCTATTTCTTTGACAGTTCCTCGACATGTACAGTGGTTGCAACAATGTATCTATTTGTATCCATTTAGGATACAGATGTTTTTATTCAGAAACAAATAGATACAATGTTACAACCGCTGTAAATGTCAAGGAACTGTCAAAGAAATAGCGGAGCTCTCTGCAGGGACACTTTTTGCCGGACTGGAATTCCTCTTATTTTTCATCCTTCTTCTTCTTCATCATCATCCTTCTTCTTCATCATCCTCCTCTTCTTCTTCTACTACTTTTTCATCATCATCATCCTCTTCTTCATTATCATCCTCTTCTTCTTCATCATCCTCTTCTTCTTCATCATCATCATCTTCTTCATCATCATCATCTTCTTCATCATCATCATCTTCTTCATCATCATCATCTTCTTCATCATCATCATCTTCTTCATTATCATCATCCTCTTCTTCATTATCATCATCCTCTTCTTCTTCTTCATCATCCTCTTCTTCTTCTTCATCATCATCTTCTTCTTCTTCATCATCATCATCCTCTTCTTCATCATCATCATCATCCTCTTCTTCATCATCATCCTCTTCTTCTCTTCTTCATCATCCTCTTCTTCTTCTTCATCATCATCATCATCCTCTTCTTCTTCTTCTTCTTCATCATCATCCTCTTCTTCATCATCATCCTCTTCTTCTCATCATCATCCTCTTCTTCACTTCACATCATCATCAATCTCTTCTTCTTCATCATCATCTTCTTCTACTTCTTCTTCATCATCCTCTTCTTCTTCATCATCCTCTTCTTCTTCATCATCATCATCCTCTTCTTTTCATCATCATCATCCTCTTCTTCTTCTTCGTCATCATCCTCCTCTTCTTCGTCATCATCCTCTTCTTCGTCATCATCCTCTTCTTCTTCATCATCATCTTCATCCTCTTCTTCTTCATCATCATCCTCTTCTTTTTCTACTACTTTTTTCTCATCATCTCCTTCTTCATCATCATCCTCTTCTTCATCATCATCATCATCCTCTTCTTCTTCTTCTACTTCATCATCATCCTCTTCTTCATCATCATCCTCTTCTTCATCATCAGCTTCTTCTCTTCATTCATCCTCTTCTTCATCATCATCCTCTTCTTCATCATCATCCTCTTCTTCATCATCATCATTCTCTTCTTCTTCTACTTCTACATCATCCTCTTCTTCATCATCATCATCATCCTCTCTTCTTCATCATCCTCTTCTTCTTCATCATCATCATCCTCCTCTTCATCATCATCATCATCCTCTTCTTCTTCTTCATCATCATCCTCTCCTCTTCTTCTTCATCATCATCATCCTCTTCTTCTTCTTCATCATCATCCTCTTCTTCATCATCCTCTTCATCATCATCCTCTTCATCATCATCCTCTTCATCATCATCCTCTTCATCATCATCCTCTTCTTCTTCATCTCATCCTCTTCTTCTTCATCCTCATCCTCTTCTTCTTCATCATCATCCTCCTCTTCTTTTTCTTCATCATCTTCATCCTCTTCTTCTTCCTCTTCTTTTTGTCTTCCTCTTGCAGGTCACTGCTCATGCGCAGATTTTTTATCGGTAAAAAATCGGCCGATTTTGCCCATTATTGCCGCGAAAATCGGACGATCAGCAAAATCGGCCGATTTTTTTTCCAACTTTACCGAAAAAAAAAAAAGGCCAAAATACCAAAAAATGGCCAAACAAATAGCCCACTAACGATCCGAAAATCGGCCGATTTTATTTTCGGCCAAAAAATCGGCCGATTTTCGACCCATCTATGGCCTGCATTATAGTGTGTACGGGGCATAAGACTGGAGAGTGCAAAATCTGGTGCAGCTGTGCACGGTAGCCAATCAGCTTCTAATTTCAGCTTGTTCAATTAGGCATTGACAAAAAAAAAAAAAAAACTGGAAGCCGACTGGTTTCCCTTCAGAGCTGCTTCAGATTTTGCACTTTCCAGTTTTAGTAAATCAACCCCACTGTTTCTTGTATGGCTGGCTTCTGGTCTCTGCCACAGGAACATGTGACAGGGTGGGTAAAGCAGGAGTACAATTTGAAGACAGTTGCCACCAGGGGCGGACTGACCATTTGGAAACTCCGGACACTGCCCGAGGGCCCGGGGTCAGTAGGGAGCCCCATGAGATGCCCCTGGTACCTTTTTCATAGGCTTTTTTGAGTTTGGGCAAGGACACAGGGGCCCAATGATCCCCTATTGCCTGGGGACCCCATGAGTTGTCAGTCCGCCCAATTAAGGGTGATATCTTATTTTTATAGCTGCTAAGCAAACATTGTGCCTTCTGCCCTCACCTAAATGCCAGAATCTTGTGCACTGGGGCCTTATCCAAGGACACCACCAAATTACTAATTCACACTCCTTTGTCATCTCTCACCTTGAGTACTGAAACTCCCTCCGCAATGGCTTCCCTTTACAAGGGCTAACCCTTCTTCAGTCTTCCATGAATGCTATTGCCAGATTCATCCATCCTACCGATGGCTCAGGGTCTGCAAACCCTCTCTGTCAATCCCTCCACTGGCCTCACAACTCTGTCCCGAATGACATCACCAACATCATCTCAAAATATCAACTGAACTGTCCTTTTGCTCCTCCTAAGACCTCCAAGCTCTCTAGCTCCCCTGTCAACTGCTTCATTGCTCACCTCCTCTGGAACTCTCTACACCAATCTGTATAGCCATCTCCTACTCTGTCCACCTTTAGGGGATCCCAGAAAACTCATCTCTTCAGGGAAGCCTATCTCACATCCAGCCAGCAACTGAATCTTCAGCCGGCCACAGATGGATCGAATCTCAGCTGGTTCAGTAGGGACCAGCCAAGATTCAGTCTATCTATGGCAGTGTTTCTCAACTCCAGTCCTCATGGACCCCCAACAGGTCATGTTTTCAGGATTTCCATTATTTTGCACAGGTGATTTGATCAGTTTCACTGCCTTAGTAATTACCACAGCTGTTTCATCTGATGGAAATCCTGAAAACATGACCTGTTGGGGGTCCATGAGGACTGGAGTTGAGAAACACTGATCTATGGGCAGGCTGGTTGTACTGACGTCGATCCATCGATCCACTTCACTACAACCAGCCTGGCAGGTTATTTTAATGCAATCACTGCCGATGGCTATAGCTGTCAGCAGTGATCACTGCGTTCTGCCATCAGGGAAAGCTCCCTGCCGGCAGAACACGATAGCCCTGTCAAGAGATTCCCCCATCAACAATGAATGCGCTTAGGGGGAATCGAGCAATTTTCTTTCCTGCAACCCTTGGGGACGATTATTGTTCGGTGTTGGCTGATTCAACAGAAATCGGCCAACATTCGGCCTTTGTATACAGCAGCCTGTCCGGCTTCTGTAGAACGTGCATGCTGGAAAACCATCCGCTGACCGATGTGTTCCGGTGGGGAAGTCGGTCCCCCTGTCAGAACACAATAGATCAGTGGGGAGATCGCAGTGCTAACATCGCATAGTTAGTACAGCGAGTTCCTACTAAGCTCCTCGTTTTCTTTTTAGTTCAGCCCAGTATAGTTTGTACCAAGCATAACTTTCTCAAACAACTCATTCCCCCATAGGTATTGTCTTTTGTACGACTTCCCTTCCCTTTAGATTTCATGACCAGAGCCCCCCGTATCCTCCGATCTCCCTTTATTCCGTAAAATGTTTTGCAAATTGTTGGCACTATATAAATCCAGTATTATAGTAACACAAATAATAAATAGGCTCAATGGATATCAACTGTGTGATCCTCATGTCCTTACCTCTTGTAACTTAGACTGGATCCAGTGGCCGAGCACAGCAAGACTGTCCATAGGGCAGATTGCCCAGATCATGACTAAAGAGATCATAAAAAGGAAATCCAATAAATGGCTCACACTGACCTTCTCTGCCTGAAAGGAAAATATTAGAGCTTTTTAGAGTCTATAATGAACAAGATAATTCAACGAGAATCTCCTTCCAATATGAAATGCACAAATATTGCAGCTCATTTTCAAAAAACCATTTCTAAGGGTAAAAGATTTCTGCCATAGAAAAACAACTGTGATTGTTTGGTGGGGTAAAGCATCCATTCCTTTGATGTCAGTCTTTAAAGCAAACCAATGTAAACCAGCTCTGCGTTATTTATACCCATATGGAAGAAAAATATATTTGAAATACTAAAATTTGGGCCATATTCGCATTTCAACATGCAGTGTGTATATATATATTATATATATATAAAATGTTTATTATTATACAGGATTTCTATAGCGCCAATAGTTTGCTGCTCAGCGCTTTACAATATAATGGGAGACAATACAGCAACAATACAGTTCAATACAAGAGGGATAGGAGGGCCCTGATCCTGGGAGCTTACAATCTAGGAATATATATATGGACTATTGCAATTCCCTTCTCACTGGCCTACGCAAACGACGCTATCCCCACTCCAGTCGATCCTAAACTCAGCGGCCAGACTCATCCACCTCAACAACCGCTCCACATCTGCCTCCCCCCTCTGCCAATCCCTTCATTGGCTCCCGATTGCCCAACGCATCAAATTCAAACTGCTAGCTCTGACCTACAAAGCCATTCACAACGCCGCCCCAAACTACATAACCAACCTGATACCCAAATACTACCCTACCCGTGCCCTCCGCTCCTCACAGGACCTCCTACTCTCTAGCTCCCTGGTCTTCTCCTCCCACGCCTGATTGCAGGACTTCTCTAGGACTTCCCCCATCCTCTGGAACTCCCTACCCCAATCCATCAGACTGTCACCTACCCTCCTCACCTTCAGGCGCACCCTGAAAACCATCTCTTCAGGGAAGCCTACCCCAACCTCACCTAACACCTGACCTCACCTAACAACTAACCTCCTCCACTCCTCCCACCACTCCATCCCCCACAGCTATCTCCTCCTGTACCACCTTCCCCTCCCTCCTAGATTGTAAGCTCAAAAGAGCAGGGCCCTCGAACCCCTCGTGTAGTGTATTGTTACTGTCTTGTCTCATGTTATGTCCCCCTTGCTACTGTACAGCGCTGAGCATACCCTTTGGCGCTATATAAATACTGTATAATTATATATACATACACACACACATACATACTGCATGCTGAAATGTGTTTTTTATATATTACAAAATATATGAAAAACATATATGAACAATATTTTTTAAAAATATATTCTTCAGATTTTTTTTAACATGTAAAAATGTCGTTTTAACATATATTTATACATATATTTGTAAATGCATTCCAAAAATGTAGATTTGTATCTTTAAAGACATGCAGTATATTTGAAAATGTAAAACACATTTCAACATACAGTTTTATATATCTATATATATATATATATATATATATATATATATATATAGATATATATATAGATATATATCCTAGATTGTAAGCTCGAAAGAGCAGGGCCCTCAAACCCCTCGTGTATTGTATAGTTACTGTCTTGTCTCATGTTCTGTCCCCCTTTGCTACTGTACAGCGCTGAGCATACCCTTTGGCGCTATATAAATACTGTATAATAATAATAATATATATATATATATATACACACACACTGTATGTTGAAATGCGTTTTACATTTTCAAATATACTCTATGTCTTTAAAAATACAAATATACATTTTTGGAATTTTGCATGTTCTCCCTGTGCTTGTGTGGGTTTCCTCCGGGTACTCCAGTTTCCTCCCACACTCCAAAGACATGCTGGTAGGTTAATTGGCTCCTGTCTAAATTGTCATAGTTTCATCCCTGGCCATGTGGGATCTCCTGTATGGTGGGGGTTGGGGAAAGACCTGGCAACCTACCCTGTAAAATAATTGCTAAGAGAATTAATGGAAAAAGTCGCTTACGAGTGACAGTCTATGCAATCGCCAAGGGTCGGATACGACTGAATGGATAGATAGATATAGCGCCATCAGCTTACGCAGCACTTTAGACATACATTGTACATTCACATCAGTCCCTAACCCTCAAGGGGCGTACAATCTAAGGTCCCTAACTCACATTCATACATACACATACTAGGGCCAATTTAGACAGGAGCCAATTCACCTATCAGCATGTCTTTGGAGTGTGGGAGGAAACCGGAGTTCCCGGAGGAAACCCATGCAGGCACAGGGAGAACATGCAAACTACAAGCAGGTGGTGCCATGTTTGGGATTCGAACTGACAACCCTAGAGCTGCCAGAGGAAACCCACGCAGGCACAGGGAGAACATGCAAACTCTAGGCAGGTAGTGCCATGTTTGGGATTCGAACTGACAACCCTAGAGCTGCCAGAGGAAACCCACGCAGTACAGGGAGAACATGCAAACTCCAGGCAGGTGGTGCCATGTTTGGGATTCGAACTAACGACCCAGGTGAAAGTGCTAACCATTTAGGCAATGTCCTGCCCTAATCAACCCAGGTAATCACCGGCCATGCGAATGAATAGCTGCGACTACCGAAAGCCTGTCACTGCAGTGTATGGGCTCAGTAGATTCCTGCCACTGGAATTCCCACCGAGGCTAAACGCCTTAGCAAATGCATCCTTCTCTCTGAGCTGGCCTGTGTTTCTCCATACGGCCCATGGCTTTCATGGCTTTCAGTCCTGGCTGTTTACCACACTCCCTTCTGCCTCCTCCTTATTGACTTTACTAAACTCCGTCATTGTTAAAAGGTTTTCCGTCAGCTCGTTCCACCTACTCAAACATGGGAACGCCAAAGTGGCATAAATCCCATCAAACGCCCCCAGTACAGCGCATCACACCTCCCTGTGACTATTACTAAGGAAGCCCAGACTCCCTCCCCCCCACTGCCACGCCAAGTGTCGGGAGGGCTGCAGGCCCCGGCTAGGCCTTTTAGTTTTGCAGGGGAGCAAAGATTGAGTATTGATCCGCAGCAGGTCCATAATTCAGTGCTTGTCTCTGCCAGACGGCCTAAAAATATATCATTACTATGAAATGATCCAATTAAGTTTTTTATAGCCAGCGCCGGAGAGAGGATGCACTGCCTGGAACACAAGACCCCAGCCAATACCCTCCCCCCACAGCTTGACATGCACAGCCCAGACTTGTGTGGGGGCCGCAGCCAAGCTCATTGCTCAGCTAGTGATAGAATCATTCCTTGTGGTCTTTATGCGATCCAAGAGATAATTCAAGGCTCTCGCACATTAAAGTGATATTAAAAGTACACTTTTTTTTTTTTCAAACAAACATGTTATACTTACCTGCTCTGTGTAATTTTTTTACACAGAGCAGGCCCCGAACTTCCTCTTCCCTGCCACCCCTGCTGGTGCTCCTGCCTCCTCCCCCTAATGAGTGCCCCCCAGTGCAAGCTTCCTGCTCTGGGGCATTCTTGCGTGCTAGCTCCTGAGCCGCCTCTATGTTTCTATGAGACACACAGACAGGGTCGCCCCCCCCCCCCGCTACCTCCTTATTGGCTGTGATTGAGCCATTAGCTCCCACTGCTGTGTCTCAGCCAATGAGGAGGGAAAGACCCGGGAGAGATAGCACTCCCGTGCACAGTGCTGGATTTAGACGGGTTCAGGCAAGTATAAAGGAGGGGGGGGGGGGAGGGGGCTGTGGGGGATGCAGCACATTGAAGGTTTTTTACCTTCATGCATAGCATCCTTCAGCCCTTACAATCATTTTTAACCACTTCCAGTCCGGACACTTTCACCCCCTTCCAGTCCGGACACTTTCCCCCCCTTCCAGTCCGGACACTTTCACCCCCTTCCAGTCCGGACACTTTCCCCCCCTTCCAGTCCGGACACTTTCCCCCCCTTCCAGTCCGGACACTTTCCCCCACTTCCAGTCCGACACACTTTCCCCCCTTCCAGTCCGGACACTTTCCCCCCCTTCCAGTCCGGAAACTTTCCCCCCCCCTTCCAGTCCGGACACTTTCCCCCCTTCCAGTCCGGACACTTTCCTTCCCCCCCCTTCCAGTCCCGGACACTTTCACCCCCTTCCAGTCCGGACACTTTCCCCCCCTTCCAGTCCGGACACTTCCCCCCCCTTCCAGTCCGGACACTTTCCTTCCCCCCCTTCCTGTCCGGACACTTTCCCCCCCTTCCTGTCCGGACACTTTCCCCCCCTTCCTGTCCGGACACTTTCCCCCCCCTTCCAGTCCGGACACTTTCCCCCCCCTTTCCAGTCCGGACACTTTCCCCCCCTTTCCAGTCCGGACACTTTCCCCCCCTTTCCAGTCCGGACACTTTCCCCCCTTTCCAGTCCGGACACTTTCCCCCCCCTTCCAGTCCGGACACTTTCCCCCCCCTTCCAGTCCGGACACTTCCCCCCCCCCTTCCAGTCCGGACACTTTCCCCCCCTTCCTGTCCGGACACTTTCACCCCCTTTGAGTCCGGACACTTTCACCCCCTTCCAGTCCGGACACTTTCCACCCCCCTTCCAGTCCGGACACTTTCCCCCCCTTCCTGCCCAGGCCAATTTTCAGCTTTCAGCGCTATCACACTTTGCATGACAATTGCGCGGTCATGCATCACTGTACCCATAGGAATTTTTTAGAACTTTTTTGAGACAGATAAAGCTTTATTTTGGTGGTATTTATTCACCACTGGGATTTTTATTTTGTTTGCTATATAAATGAAAAAGTCCAAAAAAAAGTCCAAATAATATTTCATCATAAATCTTGGCCAAAATTTATTCCGTTATCTTTTTAGTAAAAAAAAAAAAATAAAAAAATAACCCAAATTAGTTCATAACCAAAAATTATAATTTTTAAACATTTTTATTTTTGTTTTTATATTATTATTTACGGGTTTTTTTTAACATACTGTCACCCTAGCAGTACAGTGTCGCCATGATGACACTGTACTACTTGTGGGGGGTGATGAAGATTTTTTTTTTTTTACACTGATTGCTTTTACACCCATAAAGGCTGTAAAAGCAATCA